TGGTATCTCTGTCAGTTCCTATTCGTTTCTCTTCGGGTTTTTTTTAACGGGCGCGCATTAACTCTCTCTATAATGTGTATTATTACCTTAACTTGATATTCTGCGATCTTGAGGGTGCCAAGTAAAATTTAATGGAATAATTTATCATATCTTGCTTGCTACAGCACCAAATGTCCTGAAATTTTGCGAACCATTTCATATAGTATTAACGCAGGTACCTAATATTTCTCCATATTTTTAAAACATCTGTAGGGTGCTGGGGACCGTTTCCCACGCACAGATCAGCCGCGGAGCTGACACTGGATTGGTATCTCCCTCAGTTCTTGACCGTTTTCCGTCGGGTTTTTTTTAATGGGCCCGTATTAACTCCACTTTTATTTGTTATTGTTGGTGAAAGTCGTGAATCAGCGTGAATGAGGAGGGGGAACGTTTTTTTCACACATAAAGCATGTACATTAGTATCTCTGTCAATTTCCATTCGCCTTTCGTCGGGTTTTTTTTAACGGGCCCTTACTAACCCCCCGACCATTAAATATTATTGGTGCAAGTCGCGAATGAGCGTTCATGAGGCAGTAGGACGGATTTTCACAATATTTCACCAAAAAAAGCATGCACATTCGTATCTCTGTCAATTATGATTCTTTTTTCGTCGTTTCCTTTCGTACATACTTGTATTAACGCCATCGCCATTCTATATTATTGGCGCACATTGCGAATGAGGGTCTATGAGGCAGTGGAACGTTTTTTCACATTTTTTCACACACAAAAGACATGTACATGCATATCTCTGTCAAATCTTGTTCGTTTTTCGTCGGGTCTTTTTCAATGAGCTTGTATAAACAATCTCATCATATCCTATTATTGTCTTTAGTCATCAAATAGCCCGTATGAGGCCGTGGACACTGTTTCCCACGCACACACCTCGCGCTGGGATGGGCCACCACTCGTATCTCCCTCAATTCTCAACCGTTTTCCATCGGGTCTTTTGCAATGGAATCGCTCAAACGACCTCTCCATCTTTTATTATTACACCATGATAGGTCATCTAGTACAATTGTTAACATTGAAACAGGTCCCACGGCTCAGAGAACTGCATTGCTTACGTTAATTAAACTGTATTGACCCATTCAAAAACTGAATAAAACCATACATTCAAGCTGACTTTATTATATACGAGAGACCTTAAACCCGTGGGGTGCTCGTTCCTCGCACACCCATGCGTTCTTCGGACTCTAGCTCCTGCGGAGGGCATCGGGGCTGCGCCCCGAACCCCCCTGGGGCGTTGCCCCAGACCCCATTGGGGCTCCGCCCCATGCAACGACATCCTTGTTATTATTGTTCCCCATGTGCTAAAGAAATAATGAGATATATAGTGATTATTTATGCACCAAGGGGCCAGCCCCTTGAACCCCTGCTCCTGCGGAGAGCTATTGGGGCGTTGCCCCAAGCCCCACTCCTGCGGAGAGCCTGGGGCTGCGCCCCAAACCCCCCTGGATATATTTGATTATTTTTTACACCAAGGGGCCAGCCCCTTGAACCCCTGCTCCTGCGGAGGGCCATCAGGGCCTTGCCCTGAACCCCACTCCTGCGGAGAGCCTTGGGGCTGCGCCCCAAACCCCGCTCTATTAATCATGCACAGGAATGAGAAAAGCCTTTCCCCCCTCTTTGGCAATCCACTGGGAGTGAGGCCTTTTTATTTGTTGTTTTTCTTCATTTTCTGGCCATTTCTCCAAATCCACCACCCCAACCACCTCCCATCACATGGAATTCCTTTGTAAGTTGATAAAACAGTGTTCCCCATGTTGCCATGAATTTTTTTGATTTTATTTTATATAGCACACCTTCCTTTTATTTTTCTATCTTTTATTCTATGTTGTCCCATGTTGCCATGAATTTTCTGGATGTTTTTTTATATAAAATTTATTTTCCTTTGTTGTCCCACATTGCCGCAATTTTTTCAGATTTTATTTTATTCAGGACACCTTAGTTTTATTTTTTTTGGATGTTTCTGCTTCATGTTGTGCCATGTTGCCGTGAATTTTCTCAAATTTTTACCTTATATGGAACCCTTCATTTGATTCTGCTCCACATTTTAATTACTCAATTTTATTTACCTATTTATTTTACATGCTAATAGCGAAATACAAAGAAAAAGAGAGAGAATACAACAGTACCACCATTTATGGTAGATGCCAATTTCGAAAACATAACCAAACATGACTAATACAACACCACTATTACTATTATTACCTAATTATATTTGCTAATTAGCGAAAACAACCAAAAAAAAATAACTAACACAACAATACTATCATTACTTATTAAGAACTAATTAGTGAAAACAACCAAAAAAAAAAATTTAATACAACAACTACTACTACTATTTTTATTATTCGTTACTATTTACGGTTATTATGACCTATTTATTTATTTACCTATCTACCTATTTTATCTATTTATCTACCTATTTTACATGCCCAAGTCACATGGGAACAAAAAAGAGTTGCTCCCATGGGGGGGGTTGAACCGGTTTTGAGTGGGGGTATTAGTACTTTTTCGCATATGTCTGTGCGCGAACAAAGTTGTGGGAGGTTACACCCAATTGCTCACGTGAATTTCCTCAAACTAAACATATACACGTGATTCTTCACATAAACCTATCATATCTCTGTCAGTTCTCATCCGTTTCTCCTCGGGTCTTTTTCAGTGGGCGCGTCTCAATGCCCTCTACATGTCGTACTATTAGTCCGACTCGCCGTTTGGCGATCCTGAGGAGGTTTTGGCGATTTTACTCATTTCCCATGCACAAACTGTATGGTAATCTATTATATCTCGCTGAATATTGCATCAAATGTTCTATAGTTTTGCGTCCTATCTCATATATTATTGACGCAAAGATTTTATATTTTTCTATATTTTTTTTGACATCTGTGAGGCGCTGGAAGACGTTTCCCACGCACAGACCACGCGCGGAGCAGACACTACATTCGTATCTCTGTCAGTTCTCATTCGTTTCTCTTCGGATTTTTTTTAACGGGCGCGTGTTAATGTCCTATACAATCCGTATCATTACCCAAACTTGATATTCCGCGATTTTGAGGGTGCCAAGTGAAATTTAATGAAATAATTTATTATATCTCACCTGATACTGGACCAAATGTCCTGAGAATTTGCGTGATAGTTTCTATATTATCAACGCAAGCATTAAATATTTTTACATATTTTTAGGACATCTGTGAGGCGTTGGAGGCGGTTTCCCACGCACAGATCATGCGCGGAGCTGACAGTGGATTTGTATCTCTGTCAGTTCTTGACCGTTTCTCGTCGGGTCTTTTGCAAAGGGCTTGTACTAATTTTACCTTCATTTGTTATTGTTGGTGAAAGTCGTGAATCAGCGTTAATGAGGAGGGGGAACGTTTTTTCCACAAATAAAGCATGTACATAAGTTTCTCCGTCAATTTCCATTCGTTCTTCGTCGGGTTTCTTTTAATGGGCTCGGACCAACTTTTTGGTCATTCTATATTATTGGTGCAAGCTGCGAATGAGCGCGTATGAGGCGGTAGGACGTGTTTTTACATTTTTTCACAAAAAAACCATGTACATTCGTATCTCTGTCAATTATCATTCGTTTTTCGTCGTTTCTTTTCGTACATGCTTGTATTAACGTCCTCGTTATTTCATATTATTGTCGTACATCTCAAATGAGGGTCTATGAGGCGGTGGGACGTTTTTCACATTTTTTCACACACAAAAGACATTTACATGCATATATCTGTCAAATCTCATTCGTTTTTCGTCGGGTTTTTTTTAATGAGCTTGTATTAACAATCCCCTCATCTAATATTATTAGCACGCGTCGTCAAACAGCCTGTATGAGGCGTGGTCACTGTTTCCCACGCACACATTTCGCGCTGGAATGGGCCACCACTCGTATCTCCCTCAGTTTTCAACCGTTTTTCATGGGGTCTTTTGCAATGGAATCGCTCAAACGTCCCCTCCATCCTTTATTATTACACCAAGATAGGTCATCTAGTACAATTGTTAACATTGAAACAGGTCCCACGGCTCAGAGAACTGCATTGCTTACGTTAATTAAACTGTATTGACCCATTCAAAAACTGAATAAAACCATACATTCAACCTGACTTTATTATATATGGCAGAGCCAAAACACTAACGACGAGGATGGTGCTCTTCTTCGATTAGAATGTACGTCCCACTCTATGAATCAAGCATCGGCCATTATTACTGTATCGAGTGAACCCAATATACTTACTTTGCCTCAGCTCTCAGCAGAAGCCAGTGATAATGCCGCGGCGTCAGCAATATTGGGACTCCCATCTGGCATCAGGACGCGTCGTAAAAAAGCTCGTGTGCAGTACTCTGTGCTCGCCCCCTCGCCCTCTTCCCCCCGGTCATCCCAGGACCTGAGCTATTCGGTTCTATTTCTCGATACCGAATGCGGTTGGACCGCCCCTTCCGCTCCCAACCCCACCGAATATGGGACGATGTGTCGACAAGGCCACATGCACATGCTCACGAATCTTTATAAGGCTTTCTGTTTCATCGTCTTGGTGCGCGTCCACGTGCATGGATTGGCCATAATACATGGCTAATACAGCAAATCAGTCTCAGGCTATAGTAAGTATAGGATCAGCCACAAATATTAAGCCTGGGCCCCAAGGAGAACCATGCGCATGCGATAACAGCGTGTACCCCCCCCCCCCCCTTTTTTTCCTATGTTATATCAGACGTGAAGCCCTCTGTAGGGTTTCTTGTTGATCCAAGTCTCAGGCTTTGCCCTCCTCTCTCTCTCCCATCGTTGTCCTAACCTCTTGGAGGAATAATGTCAGAATCAAGGCTGCACGTACGTTGCGTCTATTGTCTTGACGTGCCTCTCTGACTGACCTTGAATTCGTATTAAGGGAACAGTACAATCTGATACTGAAACATGGGAAACGTTACGCGAAGCGATCGAAGTTATTAAGAGAGAGCTCGCCAAAGCCAGAGAGCTTTTAAAGAGTGTAACACGAGATCGATCGTCCTCCTTGCGACTAGTAATCTTACACTCTCATCCCCCCCCCCCTCCCTTGGTTCCAGCTATTCCGGATCATTACCGAACTACTGCGTCTTCTATCGGACGCTGTGAGGCCAGTGGTCATGGAGGCTTTTCACACATCGGCATCTACTGGTATTATCAATGGTACGCGACACCTGTCTCTGCTCCGCTCGTATGGCTCGCTGCTAAAAAGGAGGGTTATCCTTACTTCAGAGGGCCGTAGTTCTACTTTCTGGGACTGGATCAAATGGATGGGCAACGTCTTGCTAAATCTAGTTATCTACGTCGCTCCTCCAGTTACCGCGGTATGTCCATCACATATCGTATTCAACCCCCACCCCCCATTCTTACTTGAGCTATATTTGTACTTAGGCCCTTGCACCGCAATGGCTACCATTGGTTACAGTTGTTATCGCGATCGCGAAAGCTTGGAGAGGTTGAGAGGCCGGCTCGATCCCGATTTTCGCGCAAGCGCAAGCGCTCGCCGCCGTCACTCCTGGAATGGCTAAAAGAGGTGAAGATAAGGCCAGACACTTTGCATGGGATGGACTGCGAAAAAAAGACGGGGGGGACGGGGGGAGGGGTTCGGAAGGTGTCACTCACGTCGAACTCAGGAGGACGGTTTCAGGAGTACTGATTTTGACCATCGCGTGCGCGTTGATCGCACACAATGACACTACGCAGTGCTTAATGCAATGATCCATTTATGTATGTATGATTTTGCAGTACCGGTATTGCGTTTGTAACATCTTGGTAGAAAAGAGAAATCTCCTTCGCTAAAAAAAAATCGCAAAGGCCAGTACTGTTTTCAAGAATCGAGGGCTCCTCCAGTCAATAGTGCCTTCCCCAAGTTAATTTTAAGTTATACTGAAACGTCATGTCGATAGTCCACTCATGCCATGACCTCTATAATATAGACATCTCGCTTTCTACCGACCAAGACGTACGTACTATTAGGTTCGAACTGTGTTGCCAGTGGGCCGGGCCGGTAATTACGAGTCCCACCTGATGCACAACAACAGGCTCTAGCGCGCTGCAGCATGCACTTGCATGGCTGTCCAAAAAAAAAACGACGAAAGATTTCGAGTTACCTAGACCTAGGTCCTTTTTTTTTTCTCTTTGTCGCATTCCTTTGGCAGGAAGGAGGTATGTATGACGCTAAACGTCTCCGTCTCCGTCAGCAGCTATTTTGTCCAGTCGATCTCGATCTCTAGCTCTGGAAGCAAAAAGGGGATGGGCAACGCCTTACACTAGTACCAGTGGTAACTCTTCAAAAGGGCCCCCTTGCCAGCAGGGACGTACAGTACGTCTTCTCTGAGGCTCAAGAGGGGAACGCAAAAACACCTCTGAATTTGCGCATCATTGACTTTTGTAGCGAGTATAGTAAGTACTTACTTAACTTGAACCAAAACAGGTAAGAAAGGGAAATCTGCAAGACGCTGAGAGCTGAAGACTCGACATCAACAAAACATCATGCCAAGTTTGGCCTCATAATAAGCTCAGCGTCTAATATGTTTGACCCCAACCCCCCCTTCGATGGCTTGTTCCTGAACAGACGCTATGATTGACTTTTGATGTTTTCCAATGCTCAAGGGTAAATCCATTTATTTCTCGACAACCGAAAACGGGCATTCCGAATATGGGACCATGAATGATCAATTATCGAAAGAAGGTACTCCCACTCCCCCTGCACTGCTATCACATGCTTCGCGAATCATATATATATATGACAATCATTGTTTCATTTTCTTGATTTGCCACAAGCGGGAAGAACCCCAAGCCTGGGCCCCTGCATTGCAGCTCACCATGCGATAACGGCTTTTCCCGCAAAAAGAGAGAGAGGAGTTATCGATCCCCGTTCAAGATTTACTTAAAAGTTTCCACTCTCCTCATCTTGATCTTCATCGTCCTTGATCTTCTGGAATAATGGCAGAATCTGAGCCTGTGTGTCAACTTTGCCTGCCTTGCTGCCTTTTGTGAACGAGAGCGCCGCTCTCTGACTCTGACTCTGACTTTAACTTATTAGCGAACATCCTTTGACGCGAATTTCATGGAGGCGCAAGAAGCTGTTCGGGTGATTAGGAGTGGGCTCGTCAGAGCAAGGGAGCTGTTAGCGAACGTAAACAAAAGTTTTCCCCCCACCCTCAGTGCTACTACTTGAAGTCTCAACCGCACACTTTTGGTTTGCAGTTCCTTCAGATGGCCACACGGCTGCTGTGCATGATATCAGGCGCCATGGTATCGGACATCGTGACTGATGTTAACATGTTGGCAGCTATTCCAAATGGTACGTTGATAAAAACATTGCCTTACAGTGGGGAGTTCGCTATCAAACGGGTTGAACTACTTCAATGCAGGGAATCTTACCTGGCGAGATTTTGCCAAACTGCTCTTCAAATATGTCCTCCCGGTGATTTTCGGAGTATGCGCCCCCCCCAATCTCTCCCAAGCGCGTCTGCCCTAACTTCTTTTTATAGTTCTATGGGCCGAACTGGCTAGCCATTCTGTCTGCAGTTCTTACCGCACTTTGGAGAGCTTGGAGAAGCGCTGGGGCGAGTGGGAGCCTGCAAAGAGCGCTCTAGTGATATACATATCATGATCCATATGCAGCTGCGGCTAGTTGGCATCTCCATCTCAAATGGCTTCGATGGAAAAGATTGAGCCCCCCCCCGATAAGGCTTGAAACTTGAAGGAGGGGAAGATGAGCGCGAAGGACGGAAGGGGAAAAGTGTGTTGGTGGTTGCGCCGCCCGCGAGAGTTTAACACTTGATCGACGATTGTAAATTGCGAATTCAGTGCTTAAGCTCCAGCGAGTTAGTGAACACTATTCATCCTCGTTCAATGGTAGTTACGTACGTAGTGATGACAGTGAAAGAGGGTCCGAGTTCTGGAACGCGAGCTTTGCCGATTTCCGTCGGAAAAACGACCTGAATTCCCACGCTCATAATTTTTATTGATTCACCGTCAGATCATCTGCCCTACTGCAACTGCTGTCAGCTTTCGAGTGTGGCAACGCTCACCCCGCGCGTGGAACAGTACTGCTTGCGTTTGAGGGAGAAGCCGCTTGTTAGAGTATGGAATCTTGACAATCAGTTTTATCCGCCAGAGATCCCATTCACCACCAAAATACCGGATGTTCGCTCCCCCACTATTCGAGGATAATTGTGAACAAAAGAATAAGTACATCTCTTTTTGCTGAGGCGCTGTCTCTTAGTCTCTTCAGTCTGAAGATTACCTCGACTTTTGTACATATCCCGAGATGAGGCGGCAGGTCGTGCCAGTGGGGCTGCACGAATCCCTTCCATCCCAAACTTGTTTAGATTCCTTAATAGGCTGGCCTAATCTTTTTTTTTGCAGGAGCCTTCGCAACCGTGTCCCTACTTATTCTATTCTCTTGGTCATTCCTAAAAAACACCTTTCTTCTGCCATCACAGGACATGTACCTCTTTCACTCATCCTATCCCTTCCTCTCTGTCTTCTACCTCATACCCCAGCGCGTACAGATCCAACCACATCAAGCCGAAGCAATTTTGTGTGCCTGGGACACATTAGCCATCGATGGGATTTTTTTTAAAAAAAAAAAAAAGGCTATCATGTTCTTGAAGTTGAACGTTGGGTTTTCCGGTTACGTTCCAGAGACTGTCGGCTCTCGGGCTGGAGAGTATTAGATTCATCAGTACCGTCTGTCTCTTTCAGTCTCGTCCGATTTTTCAGAGAAATCCTTCGCTCGGGAATCGCGACGTCCCACGCCCCCCCCCCTCCTCACCCCTCTCGCATGAGTTTTTCGCCTGGTTTAGGAACTTTCTTCGGGAATGAGGTCCAGACTTGTACTTGTGGTAGCTACCCCCCATCGTGGGGTCACGGCGCTTATGCCTTTTTCTCTCACATCTTATATGGCATTACTTGCCAAAAATGTCTGGCCTTCCTGTACGCCATTTCGGCTGACACGGCGCTTCGCATGTCGATCATCCGCGTATGTTCAGTTTGCACCTCTTATGATCCAACGAAATATTTTTTGGATTTACTATGTTACCCCCCCCCCTCTCTCGCGTCCGCTGTACGCTTCGGCCTCCGTACCTTTCTTTCTTCTTTTTCGCACCTGCGGCTACGCTTCGGCTTTCGTGCCTTCTCTATTGAGGAGTTATTGTCTGGTCTTTGTTGCCAGCTCAATTTTACTCTACTCCCGGGGTTTCGGGTGCGGTTCCGATTGTAAGTATTTTTTGGTCTTGCTAAAAGGAGAAGGTGCTGTGACCTTCGGTTTCCTTTGGTGGGTGCATAATTATGTATTCGGCGCTACCCTAGCCCTTTGGTCATGTCTATTTCCTGGCTCCCGGTTTCTTCAGCGTTACTAAGTTGAATTCTTAGTCCTTCGTCCCATTTGAATGTCGCAAGGTGCAGAAGGGTCGAGGTAACAGGCACTGAGAGAAGCAATTCCATGATATTGTAACGTGATAGGTCAAGACTGACCATTGTGTGATTATTGGAAACAAGACATTGTCCGTTATCATGTAACTTCGCGGACTGCTACCTTCAGGCTCAGTGGAATAGGACTTTTATCCTGATCTTTTACAGACCGGTTCCACTGTTTGCTGGAGGCGGAACAGAGCCGGATTTTTATCTCATTGTAGACCCAGACAAAGTCGCAATTCGGAAGCTAGATGTACATTTGATTTGTAGCTAGGTATCCTAAGCATACACAATGGATTCTTGTCAGAGTCCGTCTTGTTGGGGAGTGTCCACAGTCAGTGAGTCATCCATGAAGGTGGTGCGGGCCCAGGAACCGCTCGAGTCAACAATCACCCATTGAGGATTTGTGGTGCCAATTTGGATGCAACCCACTGTTGGAATATCAACAATCGGTTCCGACGACGGAGTGGTGAGGACGGTGTTGATTGTTGGTGGCGGAAGTGAAGTTTTGGGGCCCGTCTTTTACACCCCATTTTTCTTCTTTATGTGACGGGCTCGCCACTGGTGTAGTTTGCGTATAAGAAGGGAGTTTTTTGGACTCCCTCTCCCTCAGATCTCTAACACGAGTCTGAGGTGAGATAGATTTTATTATTCTTTACAAAACTGTTAACTGTTGGTGCAGGCACTTACATGCCATAGGTACATACAAATTATAGATCTCTAACACGAGTCTGAGACACTTACGTGCCATAGCCTTATATTTAAAACCCACCACTGTGCAGATTGCAGCCAAGTCCACAATTTCAATGTATGATGTCAAACTTCTAAAATAAGTCGGCTCTAGTGTAGCATCGTGTCCCTGGGTATCACAAGTGGTAATGATGCTAAAAAGAATGGTTTTGGGCTCGGTATTTTTGGATATGATGTTTTGCAGTGAAGGATATACTCAAGCCACTGTCAGGGGATGACCCCTCTCTACAACCCACAACCTAACCTGTAACAGCCCATCTCAGGGCAAAACACTACTGTGGGTAAGAAAGAGAGAAGAAGGTTAGCTTCTCACTTTCCCACAGTGGCCACAATACTGTACTGGCATGACATACTACTGGTCACATGTCATGCTGACCAGCCGGTCCGGCTGGGGTTGGAGGTCCATCATGAAGAAATTTCACGTTGCCCCATGGGACTTACTCCATGATATCCAAATGAGGTAAACCAGGTGACTGGACAAATGACATAAAATGGACAAGCCTGGTATCGAACCCAGGACCTCTAGCGTGCATCCATACACTACTCGCCCGTTATGCCAGGGAGGTTACTCCATCCCATATTCCAACACATCATGCATCATGCAAGGCAGCCAGTTTGGTGTCTGGCATCATGCAGGTTCACGGGCACCAAGGTGGTTGTGTGTCAGGGACTGACTCAGGGTCAAGAGTGTCTGGGTATGTCACCTGGAGCTGAGGGCCCGGTAGGGTATGATGTGGGCACATGTAACAACTAGGGGTACCAAAGTTCACAGTGAACCGGTTCGAACCATCAATGAACCATTGTCAGGATCCGGACCCCAGCTGGGAGTGGCCGGAGGGCAAGGCCGGGTGTGGAAGCTGGGGTGCTCTCCCTGGCTGTTAACTCCTCAAAGTCGCTGAGGGGACTAGCCTCAGCCTTCACAGGGAATGAGCTGAGAAGAAGGGTAAGCTTCTCAGCCCCCTGTGAGGCTGACACAAAAGGACCCTAGGAACTATACAGTTCCCGCTTGCTGCCGACTTTCCATAACGGGTTTGCACGTGTGCATCATTGTGTGAAACAGTGGGGGGAAGGATAGGGGGAATGGGGAAATGTGGGGAGAGGGTGGTTAGGGAAAGGGTGAGGGTGTCTGAGGGTGAGTGGGGTCAAGGGCTGTGCCCTGACAACCATGAACTGAACCAGGATGAACCAGAACCATGGTTCAGTTTGGGTTCTCTATGATGTTGGAATTTTGTGAACCAGGTTCAAACCAAACCAAACCACCGAACTGTTTCATAAATCAGGTGTTGACCTGACCCCATCACATCATAACTGGATGCATTTCAGAGAGGAAAATGTATTCCTCTCCCACATCTTGTATGCATATATAATGAAGTAGACTAGTTTCAGTCAACAGAGAGAATGGGGATGTCTGAGAAAAAACAAATAGAATATTTACTCTCATAAATGTCTTTACTGTCTTGCCTCCATGCTCTGGACTTCGCTGGTACTTGGATACACTGGTATGACTTCTTCCTGTGATGGTAGTGACACTGGATGGCATACCGACCTGAATAATCCCATGCTTGGCCCTGATGGGAATCTGTGTGATGCTGCCGAACAGCCAGGTCAATTTGTGTACAGTCCATCAGATGAAGTACTGTGCATCTCCAGTCCACAAGGAGATATTATCAATAGCGACTTACCAGGATTTCTGCAAGGGACTCAGGATACTGGGAGACCAAAGCACACTGTGAAGCTGGTGACACGAGAAAATCCTCTTGATGTCTTTCAGCGACAAAAACTTGCTGCAAAAACAAGGGCTGGCACTTCAGCAAATTCCAATCAACCAGGTAGCAGTGGAAATGCATCCCAAGCAACACTGCAATCATTATCCAAGTTTGGTCTCAATCTGAATAACAAGAAACTGTCGGCCTACCATGGTAACACCAGAAAGAGATGGAAAAATGTTTTGTCCCATGCACTGTCAACCACTGAGTCTGATGCCGATGTCTCCAACAGTCAGACTGAGCCTCACAACATTCCCTGGAAGCGTAGGAAGCAACACAGGAAAGGCCAAGCCCACAAGAGAGCCCAAGCTCATGTCAAGGGAGCAGACAGCATGAGGTCTCAGAATAAAAATGCGGACGATAAAGCTCAGAGCAAAGGAAGTGAGGGAGATGACAAAGTCAATGATGCTCCAGGTGCTAAGGAAAGCACAGATGTATTCAGAGAGCAGGATGCACTTGTTGCACAGGTGTTTCTTGAGTCCAAGAAAATGCATGGACTGTGTGATTTATCATCAGTATTTACTGACTTGGTGGAGATTGAAGGGAAAACTGTCCATGTCTGCCAAGTGTGCCAGTAAGTGAATAAATCATCCTTAAAGCAAATACTAACGCTGTTAGAGACCAGAAGTGAGATGAAGGAGTTGTCTCCATGGTGGGGGGCTTTGGCTTCAGTGACTCAGACCAGGAGTGTTACAGATACAGAGTCTCCAACGTCCATATCCATTGCATAGTCAAAGACTTCCCCTCTCTATCGCTCCCCCTCTCTCTCCCTTTTGCCCTCTATCCTGATACCCTACCCTCCTTACTCATTCTACTCCTTTTCCCCCCTCGTGAAAAGCTTTCCCCATTGGGGTTTTGGTGCTGGCCGAGGTTACTTGTGTTTCACGGGATTTCCCATGACCCTTCCATTTGTAGATAGTCACACATCTTGTACAGAAACCACCAAAGGCAGTTCCCGCTAACTACAACTACTCTCTACAACTGTCTTGTGTGCTGTCCCTTGTAACAACCCCTTCTTGTGACTCAACTGAACCTGTGTGACTGTACAACCTGCAACATGTCCTATAAGTCTGGTTATGTCGAGTCCTCCAGCGGTCCTCACCATGAGAACTTGAAGTCATGAGTCAAAGACTCTCGACTTGTATATCATCCTATGGAACCTGTATCCTATGGGTCTTCATCACTCAGCTCTCCCCCCAGTGCTCGATGGACAACATCATATCACGATCTTAGAGATCGTGAATACTCTGAGGCCCACATTCCCATGATGCTGGTATGCTCGCTATGCAAGTGCCAAGTAGCCATCCATCCATTGTCTGTTCCCTCCCTCATCAGTCATCATATTCCCTTGCCAACGGTACGTTCCCTTTGGGAATGCCAAGTCACCAAAGGCCCTGCTAGTCAGTCCTCATTGTACGCTCATGATATCAATCCGCTACTGGTATGTTCATGCTGCAAATGCCAAGTAACCGATGGAAACTATACAAAGTTCTCACCCACCTCACGAGTTGCAACTGCGCACACAGTATGCTCCATTGAGGAGCACCAAGTACCCATGGTTGACCCATCCATCCCAATGTCTCCGACTACCTACCATCAATTCCTTAATAGCCCACTACATCACAAACCACGATCAATGGGAATTCGATCATCCACTCCCATGCAAGACTGGGAACACTCATTGATTACATATCCCATTATGGTACAGACTAGTTACAATGATCGTCATCCCTCTATAAGAACAGATTGAGGAAAGGGGAGTTCTCCCCATCCTTGTAACATTGGTGCCCCAACCCTGGTGCGAGAAACTCACACCATGCCACCAAAGACGGTGTCCCTGTTGGGAGACGAACCAGTCACTCCGGTCCAAGTGACACACGAATTGTATCCTCCTTCCTGCCCCACAAGGATCAGCCAGTCGGATCGTAGATCCAACTCAAGAGATACCTTTCCAGTAGGCAAAGATGTGCATTCCTCGCCTGGCGCATTCCTAAGACAACAAGCTCTCAGGCAAGTCATCGAAGCTCTTGGAGAGTTTGAAGGTGGAATTTTTGAGGATTCGAATAACTACATGAAATGTATACAAAATTGGCGTTGTCTCACTCCCGCTGATCTTGAGAAAGAGCCTGTTGGAGCCGGTCTCGAAGGAGAGCCTTTGAGATATTGACTAGGGACTGTTTGGCGGGTCGAGCTAACCGACCTGCTCATGAAAATTACTGAGTTCACCCAGCTAGCCACCAAAGCCAACTTAGCCACAGGTGATTTTGTATTGGATCCCCGAGGCGACCTTGCCCTGATATTCACCATAAGAGGATGGTCATCGCCCAAGGAGTTCAGCATTGCATGGAACTTCCTAGACCAGCGTTTCAACTCCTTTGAAAAACATTTTGACACCATCAAGAAAGTTGCTCATCCTTCATGGGAGTTTGACGAGTTGCGCATGAGTGGACTCAGGTTGGCGAATGTCTTGCCTGCCAAGTTTATGGATCCTGGGCAAGTTGAGGAGGCATGGTCGACCGAAATGCAACCCACTCGTCAACCTGAAGCTCTCCCATTGGGATGGACCACA